CAACAGGTCATATTTGCACTTTAGTAGGATATACTGGGAGGATGGCAGTAGGAAGCTAGAGCAATGCTGAGATAGAGACCTGTTCAGAACCTATTTCAGACAGTCTGGAGAGTTTTAATCACAGTTTTGCTGTTGTCAACATTTGCTGTGTGACTTTGTTTCTTCATAAACTAACCTGAAGCTCAGCAGATTAATCACTTCTGACCAATAGTGTGCATATAAATGCTTAACAACCAGCTTTAAATCAATGTTGTTGTTGTTAAATATGCCATGGAGTCAATTCTAACTCACAGTGAACCTGTGTAGGTTTTCCAAGGAGCAGCTGGTGGGTTTGAACCACCAACCCTGTGGTTGTTGTTAAGTGCTGTCGAGCTGGTTCTGACTCATAGCAACCAAGAAGTGGTTGGTGGGTCTGAACCAGCGACCTTACAGTTCAAGCCAACCTTACAGTCCAGTGGTTTATACTACAGTGCCACACCAGCATTTGTAAATATCTGTGGCACGTTGTTGTTGTTAAGTGCCGTAGAGTCGATTCTGACCCATAGCAACCCTGTATAGGGTTTCCAAAGAGCAGCTGGTGAGCTTCAACTCCTGACCTTGCAGTTCAAATGACTTTGCAGTCTGAAGCATTAGCTCTCAGCGCCACATCAGGACTCCATCTGTGGCATAAATACTCCCAACATGGCCAGTTTCAAACTACCAGCATTGTCACAGAATGGGGACCTGGGAAGAGATATGCGCAACCAACTTATGACGTGCCAGTATTGAGGATCTTTGAGCTCCACTCAGAACAGAATCCTTAGAATAGAATCTAAACTGTCTTGGGGCTCTTTCCAAGTAGATTAGCAGATGAGGGTGAAGATGGCTTCCTAGAGGCCTGCTTACTCCTGAGTTTACTAGGACCACTAAAGGTTTTCTTCCCCTCCCCCATTTATATCTGTATGGATCTATGGATCTTTACTTTAGTCAATGGGCTACTACACTCCATTACTATTATTTTGATGCTCAAATGGTCTCCCATTTGGTTGGTGGGTGCCTCTACAATCTGGTGGTGTCATTTAATGTGCCGATATCATTCTTTGAGCATTTCCTTACTTTCTGGCAAAACAGATGTTCTGGATTCATCCTTTACAATCCCTTCTCCAACCCTGAAATCAGTCTTATCCCTAAGCAGTTCTGTTCAGGGTATTCTGAAAAACTGGTCTTGGATAGTGGTGGCAAATAGTTTGTATTTCTCATTTCTGATTGGTAAATCTGTCTCTTGTGAGTTGGCTAGCATGAAGGGATTTTCTAGCAGTTAGTCACCACTCTCAGTGAGCCTGCAAAACTGAGGGCCAGATTCTGAATCATGGCGCTTTACGTAATGTGCTCGATGCCAAGCCTGAAGCAGCCTCTGATTTCCAGTAGAACACATGGACCTCATGTCTAATACATTGTGGATCATGGGCTTCTGTAAGGAACACGTCACAACTATCCCCAGGAGACTGTACTCCAAAATAAAAGCTCATCCTAAATTTCAGAGACTTTGAGGTGTCTCCTTTGAGGACAACTACTCCTAGTAATTTCAAACTTTGAAGAGTAAAGAATGGTTCCTCTACTTAAGCATTTGAGAAGTCTTGGTGTCCAAGATCACAGATCACTGCAAAACTCCATTGATAAGGCAAATCTGACTTCATTCAGCGCTGTTATTTTATGGAATGTTAAAACAGTGAACTCCTATGACCACTCTTAGAAATATGTGAAGAATCTGTTAGTGCTTCCAGAATTCCATGTTTTCCATTCCTTCCCAAGCCCTACTCTATAAGGTATTACATGATTTAACACCCTATGCTATAGGGTATTACATTTTTGAGAAATGAACCTCAAAAAAATCACCATAAAGTTCTGAGGCAAATGAGGATAGAAGTAGAAACTTATAAAAATACATCTTTTAATAAACATCAAGAAGTACAGTACAATTTTATCCAGGTTTTACATTGCAGTTTACAGCAAACATACTAGCCATCATTTTTTATATTTACAAGCAAAGTAAAATCAGGCTGTTGTTGTTTTTTCCTCACATAGCTGGAAAATTGAAATTTGTTGCATCATACTAAATTTAAGGTTTTCCCCCAAGCTGGCTTCTATAAAAGGCCTTTAACATAAATTATCTGTTAACAACAAAGCTGTCCGCCCACGCTGTCACAATGATAACCTGATGAATGCACAAAAGCACCTACAATGAAGTGCAAATACTGGTTTTCCTTTAATAGATTTAAAGAATAGCTACTGATAGCAACTCTGAAATATTAAAAAATAAATAAAGGTAAGGGAAACAGCTCTTTCCTTTGACTAGTGAATTAATAATAAATACTAACTTGAGGCTACTGATTCCAAAACCAAAAGATTTTGGCAGGAAAAATTTAACACATACTTATAATCTCATGGATTAAAAATTGTCTAACATTGGAAATCCTATACAGGGATGAGTAGGAACCAACTCAACAGCACTTTAAGGGCTAGATCTATTTTCCTTAACATTGTTAACACCATGAACAATATCGGATAGTGAAATTCCTGACATTTCATGGCAAAAGTTCCACAGGAAAGAGGATTGGAATTAATTAGCAAAAGGTGGGTGGTCCTTGTTAAGTGCCACTGAGCCCCTTACAACTCATAACAACCCTGTATAGGGTTTCCCAGGAGCAGCTGGTGAGCTTGAACTGCCAGCCTTGAAGTTCAAACTGACCTTGCAGTCCAGCGCATGAACCTGCAGCACCACACCAGAACTCCAAAAGAGTGGTGGGAGGAACTAATATTAACCACAAAATTCCACCTGCTATTTTCTTAGAATGATCAAGATTTTGTTTGTTGTTAAGTGCTGTCAAGTCAATTCTGACTCATAGCAAACCCATACAGTAGGGAGTGAGTTTGAACCGCCGGCCTTGTAGTTCAAACCGACCTTGTGGTCCAGCTTTATCCCACAGCACCACACCAGGAGCTACTCCTGAGAAAAAAATCGGAAGCTATAGTGAGAAAAGAGAGAAAAACACACCTAAAACCATAGCCTTGCATGCTTTCTACTGATGGCACTTAAAAATTATACAACCGGACTTATTTTTTATATACACAAATTAGAGTTGGAATAATAATAAAGTTTACTACATTCACCCATAGGCGTACCAGTCATTCAGATTTGCAAAAGAGGCATTATGTTTATCATGCAGCTTTTTTAACAATCTGTAATGGTTAACAGAACAAGATCCTCATGAAACACAGCACTTAATATGTAGCAAATTAAAACAATTAAACAGCTCCAATTCATAAGAGTAAAGATCCAGTATGACTGAATTTCTAAGCTTTTGTTATAGCGTTAACATGGTTTCGTTTTATTGTTACCCCATTAAAAGAGAGATTTTTAAAGCTTCTCTCTTAATAAATCATATTTTCAGAGATGGAAAGGGATGAGAATTTCTGAACCATTTTTGCCCATTCTCATATCTGATAGTTTTATTACAGAATCTAGACTAAGGCAGATGATCCAAGGATTCAATTAAGTAAAATGAAATTTCTAAGGTCCAGGATATATGATAAATCTGTCAGAAAGCCATCTCTGGTCAAAATATATTCTTGAATCGTTAATTCCAAGGTTAAAGGTAGCTGTCCCATGAAGTCAGGCTGTTTCCTAATTGTCAGATTAATAGTTTCATCTTCTGCATTAGATTAAAATTTCTTAGTGGATGGGACCAGATAACATAGCTTCCATGGAACCTGTGTTGTTTGTTGCTCTGTGCCATTAAGTCCATTCTGACTCATAGCGACCCCACATGACAGAGCAGAACCACTCCACAGCGTTGCCTAGACTGAGCTTTGTAGGAGATTGCCAGGGTTCTCACTCTGAGTCACTGGTGGAGCTCAAACCCCCACTCTTTCTGTGAGCAGTCAAGGGCTTAACCTCTGTATCACCAAGACTCCACTGGATCCTCTGTGGTGGTGGTTGTGTGCTGTTGAGTCGATTCTGACTCTGAGACTTGTATGGGGATTCCGAGGCTGTAGATCTTTATGGGAGTAGAAAGCTTCTCTCTGTCCTGTGGAACAGCTGGTCAATCTGAACTGCTGACCTCGCAGTTGGCAGCCCAAAGCATAACCTACCATGCCAGCTAATCAGAGATATATGCTTAAGGAGACAACAAGTCGTGGGGGCAGGAACTGAATCAGCTGTGAACGTGGTCACGGTAAAGTCAGACCATCACAAGTCACCCATCACCAGGGGCATCTCTGATGTTGTCACTGTCACTGAAGAAAAGACTCTTGTCTCTTCACACTGGGTTAAAAGAGAAGCAAGCACTGGGGCCCTTTCAGTTCTCTCTCTTACCCACTGAGAGGTGACATATGGGCAGAAACACTGATTTGTGGGTGAGAGCTCGAAGTGTTTTAAACTCCAATAATAAAATTTACAGTCATGAACTTTTAATGCATTTTATTTTTCAACACTGACATGAGGTAGAAGAAACTCACAAAAGAAAATAAGATTCAAATTTCCTAAGTCTATTAGATATAATTAGTCCCAAGAAAGAAGGGGGAGAAAAAGGCTATTAGCCGCTGTCAGACTGACTACTGGTAAAATACAGCCTTTACTGAGAGGAAATTTCTTAGAATTGAAATTGCCTTTCTTTTTCCCAGTTTCACGTGTAGGGAAAGGGCCATACATACTCTGAAATGTCCATAAAGATAGTGTAAAAACAGCTTCTCTTGGACATTTTTATTTTACCATGTTATTTAAATCACCTCAACTGAGACACAGGTCTTTTTCACTAACTGTTCAAATATCAATATGGTGATTAAAAATCCTTCCAGTGTAAAAAGATAAAAGGAATGATTCACATTTAAAATAATGTTTCTATAAAAACTAGCAACACATCATTCTACCAGGACATACAGATTTGGCTTCAGTGACTGCTCAGGAACAACAGAAAATGTACACGGGTCCAAAAGCTCCTTGCAGTGAGTGCTGCATATGGAGCTATGAAAAGAATTTTCTTTCACAAGGAACTATCTTCCCATTAGGCAGTGTGTGAAACTACAGGAATGTCGATCTCAATGGCAGAGAGCCGGGAGCGGGCTGAATAGGGCTGTGAGTAAGCATGCATATTGGAAGGGTGAGAATACAATGGTTGCCAGAAAGGAGAAGGCAAAGATTTGCATACACAGTACCAAATAAACAGTAGGAAGGCAGTCATAAAGAGGCCCCCGGCACTAGCAATAGTGACATACACTGCATAGTCGAACATAAAGACTGGCTCAAACTTCTTGTTCAGATGCATGTTATAAAAGATGACCCAAACGGATGGGGAGAGGCTCACAGTACCTGCCAGGAAAAACAGCAGCCCTGCCACCAGGTGGCAGCCTGCACTATTGACCAGACACTTGGCCAGTTTGATGTTGGGCACAGAGGACCTGAAGGCTGTGTTACACATTCCAATCAGGCAGAGCAGCAGAGCACCCATTGCGATCAGGATGCTGAGGGGCAGGGCAAACTGGAGGACCCGCAGGTCCAGCTGGTCAACTGAGGAGTACCACGTGGTGTCGTACATCAGGCAGTCACTGCTCCCATCGTATCGGGCACATTTCACCCACAGGCCTGTGTAAACAGTCAGGTTCTTCTCGTTTCTGTTGAACGTGATCAGTCTTAATTTTCTCCAGTTGGGAAGCAGAGTCCCCGCAAAGAGGCCTGCTACGGAGGCGATTCCACACAGGAAGGAGAGGACTGTAGCTGCGTGAACATCCCGGCAGCCCATGGCAGGGAGGCGTGAGCAGTCAGACTAGGGGGTAACACACAAGAGAACAAATCATGAAGGAGCAACAGAACAGAGCAGGAAGGTGTGGTGCCTATTAACAACACAGTTAGTGATGAAATATCAATTCAAAACAGGACACTGTACCCCATGTTTCCTCTCGGTCAGTTCTAACTCAGCGGCCCTGGATAGGGTTTCTGAGGAGTGGCTGGCAGTTTTGAACCACAGACCTCGTAGTTTGCTGTCCAGTGCTTATCCTGCAGTGCCACACCAGGACTCCATGGATGCACCAAGCAAATGCATATAAATACATGTAAGTGAGAGCTCAGACGGAGCTCTCACTGATTGGTTCAGGGAACAACAACGCCTTTAGCTTCTTATTCTGCACAGCTAATCAGAGAAACAAAGTAAGTTCAAATCCTTTTAACTTGACAACTAAAATTCTCTTGGTTGTCAATAAGCATTCCTAAGTTGTTGTTGTGTTAGATGC